TGGAGCAGTATCAGACTCATATTCTGACTAGAATTGAGTTGGACAACGTCAGGCTAATAGATCGACCCCATAACATTTAAAATTGGGGGTCCTCTACATCAGGAGTAGACTTTGGACCCCATAAGACCTGTTGGTTCTCATGAGGTTGGTACATACAGTAGCAGCCATTAAAAATGGCTCTTCCCAGTCAAAAGCCAGCCGAATGGCAGCAAATCCCCTCCAACTTCCAGCCACGGGCCTTCTCCTCGGCTTGCGTATTTTTTTACTCTGACCAGCCTTTCACTGAATTACAGGGTCTGACCAGGAGATCACGCTTCTCTTTGGATCATAATGTTAACAAATCATGACATAAAGAATATTTTAGTACAAAGATTGATATTTAAAAATTAATTATAGGGGACCAGCCAAGGGCCCAACAAGAAAAGTGGGGAAATTTTGAATGGCTACTACTGTATATATAATGGCTACTGTATATATAATGGCTACTACTGTAGATATGATGGCTACATATATACCTAATGGCTACTTTATCTAAAACATGTATATATAGCTAAAGTAGTGAGGACCATGTGTGGATTCCCATTGATTTTCCCTAACCCTAAAAATAACCCTAAACCTAACCATTACCAGTGCATACCTCACCCTAACCGTAAATCAGTTCACACCTTTACCCTGAACTTAACCTCAATCTAAAAGAAACTGGTCCTCACTCTTCTTCTAAAACAGGGGCTCACAACCGCACAAACATATGAACCTTTTAAGGGACGATGACTTGAACAGTGATGATTATAAACGTGTACGATATGTATAAAAAGTTATTATACATTTACTGAAAGTTCTTCTCTCCTACAGTCTCTATTTCACGCCACTTCCCTCCAGAAGACTCATCAAAGTGCTCTGCAGGTGCAGCAAAAGGCTGAGGTAGGCCCATCGCCTGCTATTGTTCTCATTGTAGTCGTGATGGAAAAAGTAAACCTCATATCAGTCAGATTTATTTTGTGTTTTTAAGATATTGCACATCCACTGTCATGAGCTAACACACACAGCAGAGTGGGAAAGTGGGAAAACTAGATTTAGTTTTCAGGGACAAAGTAGGAGATTTCAAACGGACCATCTGTCACTTTGTAAGGATCCTGTCACACTTTGTCGATTTAGCCAAAGTATGCCCGACGTCCCAGAATCTTCTAAAATGCTGAACTTTCTATGTATTTTTCAATTTTGAGCATATACATAGAGTATTCATAACAAATTCAGAACTTAGCAGCGTAATGCCCATGAAATGATGCATTTACGAAGCATCAGTCAAAGCTGCTCCCCTCAGGCGCATCGGAGGCGCCCGGTCTGCATAAAAAGATGTCTTTGATCGCATTATTAACCTAGCTGCTGTTTAACGCCCATCTAAAAAGAAAGGATAAATAAAAAGAAAAAAGAAAAAGAACAAAAGAAGGTTTGCAGTCGCAGCAGATTCAGCATCATGTCTGCTAGGAAGTTTGTTGTTTGTAGCTGTGGGTGTGAACACAGGGAGGATTAATCAAACTCACCTTCATACTCACCCTATAATGGGGATGAAGTCTGGAGGAGAACTGACGGTTTCCTCCTGTGAACCCCCTTTATACCGAAACGGTTGCAATTTGCCATTATACAGTAGCTGTGAGTGAGGAACATGTCAAATACGTTGATATATGCGTTGGAGATAAGTTCTTGATAAATTATGAACAAGTTACTCATAGGTTTTGGATTGGCTAGACGCCCAAACTTATGAGTAGCTTACACTTATGCTCGACATATTGCATACGCCCGCTGACGTCGAGAAATTTTGAGCAAGCTTAAAACTTCTCGATGTACTTGCCGTATGTTGAGATGTGCCAGTGTGCTTTAGCATGCTCATTTGCAACTTATACAAAATGTACCCATAACTTATCCAATAGATGCCAGCGTTTTTGCAAGATTTTTCATACATCAGGCAAACGCTGGCTAAATTGTCAAGGTGTGACAGGCGCTTTACCTGATAGAAGCCAGAATGATACATGTGGATTTCTAATTAAACTACACGTGTTGATCAGGGAAGGCTCCTGTAGAAAACATTCACAAAGGGGAGGGTTATTCATGATTGGGTGCCTACCTCCCAGGTCAAGTTTTAAGCCAATCACAGCAGCACTAGCAGCTTGATTTGTTTCACGACTAGTCGAGTTAACTGATAAATCAAACTCTTACCAAATCAGGCAGGGTGGAAGGTGCAAACATCTTCCCCTCCACTAAGGCAAAAATTATGTCTTTCTGCTTGTCTTACATAAAGAAATAGATGGTATTCCAGCTAAAACCAGCGTAGCCATGTTTGTTTTGCTTCAGCCTTCCGCCTCTGGTTGACGCGTTGACATCATAGACGTTATTTCATTGGTGATAATGTTTCTGAATCAATGCTAATGCATCTATTGGCTCCCGGCAAGATGCTTTTTCGAAGGAGTTTATGAATTCAAAAAGTCATCTTGTACCTTTCAAGGAATTTTTAAGTCATATCCACTTATTCTATAGTGAGGAAATGTGTTTTATTAACTCCAATAAGTTTTATCTCCCTGTAGAATGTTGCAGAGGTTTATATAAGTTGTATTCAAGTTCAAAATTAGTTAGAGTAGAACTAAGATAAATGGAAACGGGTTATGCAAGGTTTTCCAATGATATGCAAGGTTTTCCAATGATATAAAATTTATAAAAATTACATGGGAATTAGACATTTAGCTGCATTACTGATGACATTAAGCCACAGGATTTGGTTTAAGGACATGGGGACGAAAAACTTTTAAAGGAGGGAAATCGAAAAAGGATGCAACTAAAGATAAATATTCATCAGCGAAGGATCAAACAGTCCGAGAGCCAATAAAAACATTTTAAAGGTCTTTTATTGAATTAAGGAAAAACTGAAATGAAAAGAAAGGTTGTTTTTTTTAAACGGGAGGCAAGCGACCCCCGTCACATCTACTGCCGCGATATATTTATCAGGTGACCTAAGTAGTCACTCCTGGGCCAGCAAGAACGACCCTTCAGTTTCCATGGTAACCACCTGTTGTACCAGAAGATGAGTAAATCCTTCTTTGCCTCAGACATTCATGCACTGTTTTACCACCTGGACAGAAAGTTTACATCAGCACTGCTGAGACCTGCAGACATGTCACCATGGAGATGGTTATAAAGATTAACTTTGCTGCCCATAACTGTAAAGCAGTGAATATCCACTCATTTTATCCAGGGGCAAACATTAGAAGAAGGCAGTGGAGCAGTTCTACTGCTCTGCTACTCAGCCTCCATTTCCAAACCATCTGCATTCGATGCAACTTCCATCTGCCAGTAAGGCCAGCTGGACTGTCCTTCAGCTGTGCTCCACCATTACCACTATAAAAAACGTGAAAACAGCCTCTATTAAAACCAAAATGAACAAACCCTTCTTAAAGCTCAATGTTGCAGCAAACAGGATGGCTGCTGGTCTTAAACATTAGAAGAGAGGGAAAGAATCATCACAGGGCAGAGAAGTGCCATAAATACATAATTAATAGCTTTTAGAAGCTGATATCTGTAAAAACTTTCATGACTTTTAAATATAACAATATTTTCGCTCATTAACAGGCTTTAACTGGCTGTATAATTGGTGATATATATAAGAATAATCTTTAATTTAACAAGTTGCATTGCAAATATACATAGTAATAACATTAAGCAGGGGTCACACTATTCCAGAACCATTAGATTAAATCTGCATATAACCAATAAAGAGCAGATTAGAGGAACATTTAGCATGACTGTCTGCAGCGCAGCAGGGAGCAAAGAGGAAGGAGATCTAAGGTGTAACTATTTGCATTCTCTAACTGTTTTCTCAACTGCAGATATAAACAGGGTATTTCACTGAGAAAAACATTTCTGTGGCTCAATTAAGACAATTCTCTGAAGGCGCATGTGAGAAAATGGGTTCAGATAGACGCTAAAGGCTCACAAACACTTAATGATAGATTCAGGGTGCAGTTTCACAGCTGCTGTTAACTAAATGTCCTTGATAAATGATTATTATCACAGCGATCACCTTTTTAAAAGCAGAAGTAAAATTATTTACATGAAGAAAACACAGAAACCAATTCATTATCTTTCCGGAACTGGACATCCAACAGAAAATCCCTAATTAATTCTGACCATGAAATGCTCCCAGAGGTAAGAAAAAAAAAAGCGACTGCTCAAATGTGTAAAGTTTGAAATAGAAGACGAGGGTTGGTATATGATGGGAGACACTGAGAGCCCCATTCAGATGATCAACAGGAACCAAATCCAGAAAGGAGAAAACTTCAGAAGGACTGAAAGTAAACAAACTATGGATCCTTAAAATTACAAGTTAATCTCTAGAATTTAAAATAATATCTAAGTGCTGAATAAACTCATGTCAGGGGACGTCTCCATGGGGCTACCCTCAGAAATGAAGGGATGTGTGATGATTTAAAAGCATCACATGGTTTAGTGATTCCCATCCAATGGCTAATGTCTTTGAAAAACAGACGTTTCGAGGGCTGCTGGTGCCTATCTCCCGCTGTCTACGGGCGAGAGGCGGGGTCCATCCCGGACAGGTCACCTGTCCATCACAGGGCAACAAAGAGACAAACAACCATTCACACATACTCACACCTAAAGAGAATTTAGAGAACTCAATTCATGTTTTTGGACTGTGGGAGGAAGTCAGAGTACCTGGAGAGAATCCACGCTTGCTCAGGGACAACATGCAAACTCCATGTGAATCAATCCCGGAACCTTCTTGCTTCAAGGTATCTGCTTACACCTGCCCTTTGTCCCTGACTCTCCCAGATGATGCTGCAGGCGGGTCACTATGACCCTGAGGCGATCCGCGGCTGTGCTGAGAAGGTGGCCATCCACTGGCAGCAGCTGATGCTAAAGATGGAGGACCGCCTGAAGCTGGTCAACGCCTCTGTGGCCTTCTACAAGACGTCAGAGCAGGTAATCTTCACGCCTCCTTTCCCTTACACAGCCGGTGGATTCTTCCAGCGATGATCCACACTGCCAGTCTGTATCCCTGCAGGTGTGCAGCGTGTTGGAGAGCCTGGAGCAGGAGTACCGCAGGGATGAAGACTGGTGTGGGAGCCATGACAAACTTGGGAGTTCAGTGGAGAGTGATCATCTGCTGCCCCTGATCAGCAAGCACCTGGAGCAGAAGGAAGCCTTCCTGAAGGTGGAGTAACAGATCAGGCCACTCATGGAGCTCGTCAGGTAGAAATGATGTCCAATCAAATCTGTGTGGACGCATTTTGTGATTTTAGGCGTGCACGCTGGCGCGGAGGAATGCTGAGGTGTTCCTGAAATACATCCACAGAAACAATGTGAGCACACCTGGAGCCGCAGGCCACGCTAGAGGACCTGAGCAGCAGGTTAAAGGTACGTGGCTCTATGGTGACCCCTGCTGGTGGAGCAGCAGAGAAAGTCACATGCATAGGATTCCATTAACATGCTGTAGGGTCGGCTCAGCTAAGCAGGGTTGATGTGCTTCTGTGTGCAGCCATTCTGAACGAGCTGCTGCAGAGGGAGAACCGGGTTCTTCACTTCTGGACGCTGAAGAAACGAAGGCTGGACCAGTGTCAGCAGTACTTGGTGTTTGAACGCAGTGCCAAACAGGTCAGAACATATGTGTTTGGCTTCCTCATAATAAAAAAAAAAAAAATCAAACATGTAAACAACAATCATCCCTTGATTTGATTCCATTTAAGGAGGAATTTAGGGAAACACGCCATGCTGTGAATGAATTCTGGCCCAGTGATCAATCGCCCTGCTGGTCATGCTAATATGACATTTCTCAGAGTCTGAGCAGACAGAGATCATCCTGGCTCCTTTCTGATGCTGATGCTGATGCTTCCCTTCAGCTCAGCCAGCAGCCTTTCTACAGGAAAAATCATTTCTGTTAGATTAGCCGTATATTTTGGGTAATCCTACCGAAGCGAAGGCGACCTTTTGCAATCTACTAACTCATACTTTTTAAAATCAAATCATTAATGATGCTAATGAACTCTAATCAGGTTCTCTGGAGCTTTTGAAGAAAAACAGGCTCACAGCATCACAGATCATCTGAAATATTTGGTTAAGCATGAGAAGCTTGTCTTCCTACTTATTTCATTCTTAGGTCGATCTCAGTTGTAGAATCCTAAGTAATGAAGCCATAAACTAGATGGTCTTTTCCCCTCTGTGATCCACTTGAACGTGCAAAAACAAACCGTTAGGTTAAGCTATTTATTTCAAGAATAAAGAACATTATAGATATTACATTTCCATAAAAATAAAATAATAAATGAAGATTAGGAGAAATGTAAATGAGATGAAAAAACTGTGTGGCTCCACTCCAATTACCCGACTAACACTGAAGCAGAAGCCACTCCCCTAAACATCCAGAAACAAACCATGCACATTTGCAAATGAACTTCAGTACAATTGCACATATTTAATATCCTTACATATGAGAACCTTTTACTTTCTGATATTTACTGTAAATTCTTTATGTGTTAAGGAAAACCCTCGTCTCAAAGATAAAGCTTGTTTATTTCTGGGATTTCTCCCAAACAAGCATCAACCTCAAATCTGGAGCTGATGGTTGCTGATGCCATTTCTTTCTGCTGTTTTTAGTTTAGTAGATATTTAGTTCAACTGTCCTACTTTGGTTCAGAACCTGTGATGAAATAAATCTGTCACACTGCAAAAAATGTAAATCAAATTAAGTAATTTTTTTTCTTAAAATAAGTACATTTTTTCTTGAATTGTTAGTAAGTTAGACATTTTGCCAATGAAACGAGAAAATTTACACTTAAAATAAGAAAAAAGAACTGCATTGTCTTATTTCAAGTGCATATTATCTAATTAACTTAAAAATACAAATTCCATTGGCAAACGATCTTATTTTCCTGCTCAAATTAAGAGTAAATTCACTTAATTTAAGACATTTTCACTTATTTCTAGATCGTTTTTGCAGTGCACATCAAATTATACCTCATGGGGAAAAAGTGATTAATAAAGTCTCCCTGCACTGCAAAAACAATCTAAAAATAAGTAAAACTTTCTTAAAATCAGTGCACAATTTGTCATTGGAATGAGTTTTACTTTTAAAATAAAATAATTGGATAATATTCACTTGAAATAAGAAAATGCAATTGTTTTCTTCTTATTCTAGATGAAAATGAGCTTATTCTATTGGCAAAGTGTGTCACTTACCTCCTTAATTCAAGAAAAATGCCATTTTTTTTGCAGTGAAGGTTAAGAACAGCAGGAGTCAAGAGGAAATATTCCAACTCATTTGTTGAGGATTTTATTAGAAACTATAAAGTGAAACATGTTTTTAACCCACTGAATAAATTCCCTCTAAAAAAAGGTGGATTTTTTTAAATAATCATTTAAGGTTTGGGTTATTCTGCTGCAGTCAGCAATATTTGAGATGAATCCGTCTCTGAATCTTAGATTTCTGTTTGTTTCCAGGCTTTGGACTGGATTCAGGAGACAGGAGACGTTTACCTGACTACACATACATCTCCTGGGGAGAGCAGTGAGGAAACACAGCAGCTGCTCAATGACTACCATCACTTTAGACTCTCTGCTAAGGTACGCTGTGTGTCTGGAGGACAGGAACGAGGATGAAAACAAGCTGGGATTTAAGAAATAAAACCAAATGTTTGCTTTTTGATTTTTGTGCTTTGAGAAATTTTTGGTCTCAAATAAACATAAAAGATGTTACAGAGTTCAAAAAGTTAGAAAACAATTTACCGGACTTTTTTTCCCCCAAGTTTGAAGATGTTTTGCCTCCCATCCAGGAAGCTTTTTCAATTCAAAATGTCAGGAATAGCGCTGAGTTCGAGGCTTTATGCAGTAGCCCAACAAAGCTTTGTTTTTGTTTAGAAAACAATCAAATAGAAAAGTACGACCTCTTTGGAATGGGGGTCGTTAGGATTCTTTGTTCGCCCTCAATGCCCAATACCTGTCTATGTCTCTGATAGGGGTGTAGTTAAAGGGAATTGTTGGCCTGGCTGACTAGGCGAGGTCTTCTGTTCCCCTGTAAAGGGGTTGGGGTTGCAGTGATAGCGGGAAGGAATCAACTCAATTGCTGCATTGTAGGTTTTTGAAAGTTTAAAGATGAGTCCAGCCCCGCTCTTTAAGGCTGGTTATTCTTAACTAACATATACCTCATTTACACTACCCTTGAAAACCCGTGCTGAGACCTGTCCAAGCTCAGTAACTGAGATAACTTATCGTATGTAAATGGAAAGCAAATTGAACTGAACCGAGCTAGACACAACCGAACCGCGCTAACTGCAGACCAGTTCCAGAGGTGGGATCGGCTCGGTTTTTCCCTGGATCGGTTCTCTGATAACAAGAGCCCATGAGCAGAATGCCTCATCTCCGTCTGGCTGCACATCCCGATTCACACTCCATTCCACTAGTTGGCGGTAATGCCCCTCCGGAAGTTGCTTGCCAACTAACATAAAACAGAAGAAGAAGAACAACTATAAACAACAATCAAAATCTTCTCCACGCAACATTTTAAATAATGGCTTCAAAAGAGCGTGGTGCGACCTGGGATGATAATAATGATCAAGCATAACTTTCTGAATGTGACGGGTGCCGCCATTTTGATTTGCTTGATTACCTCTTTCTTCATCTTCTTCTTCTTGTGTTTTATGGTGGTTGGCAAACAACTTTTGGTGCATTACCACCACCAGCTGCTTGATTTCCTCCTTCAATTCTGGCAGTAATACCGCAGATCGTCACTAGGAGGCGAGGAATCGAGGAACCGAGATAGAGTGATGTGTTAACTGTCGTCAGAACCGAGCTCGGCCTGGTTAACTGATCCGAGCTCAGACCGGTCTTGGCATGGATCGGTTTTTCAAGGGTAGCTGTAAATGTGGTAATAGATGGCTTACTTCACGCCGCTCTCAAACCACCTATTTTCTTTGTCCAAAATTCTTTTTCTTTGTTTTTGAACTTTTTTTTGGAATGACTCTGACCTGGATGACTGAGAATCTTCACCAACATATTTGCTGTCAGTTTCAATAAAAACTCTAAGTGATTATAGGAAGGATAAACAGCCAAGCTGGGATCTGAACTAGTAATAGTGATGAAATGAATTCTCTAATTGTTAAACTTGGACCTCTATGTTGGTCAGTGTAACCCTGAGTGTCCCGTCAACTTCCAGCAAACCAAGGAGAAGGTGAAGCTTCTGATCCAGCTGGCAGACAATCTGGTGGAGAAAGGCCACGCCCACGTGTCGGAGCTGAAGCGCTGGGTCAGCACAGTGGACCGCAGATACCGGGACTTCTCTGTGCGCATGGCCAAATATCAGGAGAGCCTGGAGAGGAGCCTGGGCGTCAGCTCTGAGGTGAACCATTGGACAGGAGCCAGCGCCTTACTGACGGAGGTTAGAAATGGTTCCAAACGCTGAGAAAAGGTTCGCTCTGTCTGCAGGACAATAAAGACCTGGAGCTGGACATCATGCCTGCAAGTTTGACGGACGACCCTGAGGTCAAACTACGGGATCCCAATCATGAGGTCAATGAGGAGAAAAGGAAGTCGGCCAGAAAGAAAGAGTGAGTCCTTTCCTTAATCTTTCCTGGCTGTGTGTTTCCTGGACGGGGCCACCTGTGGAGCTCAGAGTTGCCTTTTTTTT